CGGAAAGCCTCATCATTCTCCCTCAGAGCACTGGCAGGCTTGAAGTGCAGACCTTGTGGTTCTCAGTCCAGTGCTTATTGTGTGGAGCCACACCACTCCTGTATATAGCTATGTTGTTGTTTTTGTTAAGTGCTGTTGAGTCGATCCCGATCAATAGTGACCCTGTATAGGGTTTCCGAGGAGTGCCTGCCTGGTGAGCTTGAACCGCTGACCTTGCAGTTCAAATGGCTTTGCAGTCTGGTGCATTAACACACAGTGCCACACCGGGACTCCGTATATAGCTATGTTGTTGTTATTAAGTGCTGTTGAGTCGGTTCTGACCCACAGCGACCCTGTATAGCTCTCTAAATCTATTTATGTGTTTATTTCTCTAGTCTATTTTATATATGAGTATTTCTCTAATCTAATTCATTTCTCTGATGTTTTGTCTGTTCATCTTTCTCTCTCATATGTTTTTCTCTCTTACGATTTATCCATACATTTGACACACTCAGCCAATAGTGACTTTACCATGGGAGGCAATGCATGCTTTTTTTAACTTTTTATTGTGGATTGAGTGACGGTTTACAGACAAGATCATCAGCTTTACGTGCAACCAGGCATGCACTGTGTTTCATCTCAATGATATCAATCCCTTCCATGTAACAACAGTTAGCCTGTTTCCTCCCTGGGGTTTCCACGTGTGTTCCACCCACCTTTCCATCCTGTCTGAACTTGATCCTTAGGAAAATGTTGCTGTTTTGATCCCCAAATGAGTGACTGACTATTCTATGGTGAGCATACCTTGTCACAGTTGTTTCCTCCCTCGCTTCTCCCCCGCTCAACCACCATCCCTCCCCATAAACCTATCTACTGCTTCTCTGAAAATTGGGCCACAAGGGTGAGTTCCTTTTCAGACCTGAAGAGTGGTCGAGGGCCAGAGTCTCAGTAATGCATACTTTGCTTGAAGGTGAAAGTTATCCCTTCCCTTTTACCCAGACTGTCTTGATAGCTGCTGGTAGACTGAAGACTATAGCTCTGAGGTGTATGTTGGTGATTTTCTTTCACATGGAACTGAATGCATTGCATTGTCTAACCAAAGGGAAGTGACTTTCATTCTCAGTGTTTTCAGTGGAAATTCAGGTGTACAGACTATGTGCAAATTAATGATGACATGCATTTTCTGACATGACGTTGATAATGCATTCCAATTGAAAAGTAGTTATTGGTACTGAAAATTCTTTATAGATCACAAGAGCCATAATGCTAAAGAAATGAAATAGTTTACAAATTCTGAACTACAGTTATTTGTTATTTAATAACTTTAAAGCAACAACTAACCAAAGCAACACAGCTACTTTTAGTCTATGTCTCACATTGTTAAGTGCCATCTAGTTGGTTCTGACTCTTAGTGACCTTGTACAGGATTTCTGAGCACCTGATGAATTTGAACTGCTGACCTTGTGGTTCAATCGACCTTGAGGTCAAGTGCTTATCCTATGGTGTCATACCAGTTCTCTCTCTCTCTCTCTCTCTCTCTCTCTCTCTCTCCCTCTCTCTATCTATCTATCTATATATATATAGTTGTTGTTAAGTGCTGTTGAGTTGGCTCCAATTCATAACTATCCTGCGTGGGTTTTCCGAGGAGCAGCTGGTGAGTTTGAATCACCAACCTTGCTGTTAAAGCTGACCTTGCAGTCCAGTGCTTTATCCCACAGCACAAAGTTGGCAGTTCAAACTCATCAACCACTCCTCGGAAACCCTATACAGGGTCCCTATGAGTCGGAACCGACTTGATGGCACTTAACAACAGTGATATATATAATTGAATTTTCGGTGAAAGTATACACAGCAGAACATTCCTGTTCAACAATTTCTAGACATAAAGTTCTGTGACTTTGGATATTCTTCAGTTTGTGTCTTCATTCTCATTATTCCATTCTAATGGTTTCACTCACATTAAATTAGTTTTATCATCCCCAACTTCTTAT